AAGATGGATGTTTAAAGCGAACTTTGAGAAAGCCTTTGACTTAGTGGATTGGATTTACGTGATAGATGTTCTTGAGGCGATGGGTTTCTTTCCAAAATGGAGAAACTGTGTCAAAGCCTGTCTACAAAATGGGCCACCGTCCAAGGAATTTTGTCTTTTCAATGGTCTTCAACAAGGGGATCCGCTCTCCCCTTTCTTATTTATCGCGTGCTATGGAAGGCCTCCACCAAGGAGGATGCCCGGTGTAAGAATCTTATCAAAGGCCTCGCGATCGGGCTGCATAGATTTAATATTTCTTAAAAACTGATGACGAACTTTTCATCAATGAATGGTCGGTGGAAGACGGGAAAAACATTCTTCGCATTCCAAGATGTTTTTTTTCCTGTCTTTGGGTCTTAGGATGAACCTAGCTAAAAATGTTATGTTCAGAGTGGGGACAAAAAGGGTTAGAAGTGTTGCTGCATTACTGTAAAGTTGGAAGTCGGCCTTGCAAATTTCTCAGTGTCCCATGGGAGATAAGATGTCTAGAATTAAAGTTTGGGACCCAATAATTGAAAGGTTTCAACACATACTCTCGCATTGGAAAGGTAATGATCTATCAATAGGTGGAATACGCGTTCTGGCGCAAGCTGTTTTGTGTTGCTTAGCTAGCTATTTATGTCGATCTTTAAACATATCATTTTGCAAAAATATTAAGCACCTCATTTTGCAAAAATACTTACCATAAATATATGCATCAAAACACACTTACAACATGCAAAACCGCATGTACGTATCAAGACACTGTTACAACACGTCTGAACGCACATAGCATGAAGGTAATTAATACGAATTGGCTATAATTCAGCCAAATTGATAGAACAAGAATATGACACACCAAACAAGCCATAGAGGCCCCTCAATTTACCAAACAACTAAATCATAGAACAAGCATTACTATTTTTTATGCTAATTATTTATTTATGTTTTATTTGAAGACCATGCCACCGGAAACCCAGTACGTTTGTTCAAGCGATGAAGGCTTGTATGTACATCCAAAAGTCCTAAGTTCGAGTATTAAATAATATCATGTAAAACCTCGTTAAATTATTCTTTAAGAAGGTCTTGAGAAGATAAAGAAAAATCCAACATATATTAAGAATAAATTGGTCCAAGATCATCTTCAACAAAAGCTTCCAACATATATTGAGAATAAATTGGTTCATCTTCAACAAATACGAGACGCACACAAATGATCCCAAACTGTTGAGAGGGGGCTACACAAGTACAGATTGTCCCAAGTCTTAAAGCATTGACTTTATACCATTTAAGAATACGTGAAACCGTATTAAATTATTCTATAAAAAAAATTCTTAAAAAAGGAGATCTCAATAAAAATCCCATATATGTTCCATATAGAAATGGAAAATATCATTGGGTCTGTACAAATAGCTAAAATGAACCTCCTTCATGTGTGCCAATTGAACTCATCATCAATTATATGTACATATATATTAACATCATTTTTGTAGTTTTCTTTTTGTGAAAGATTATGCATACAACTACTAGATTCTTGAGATAGAGTAGTTAAACTAAGATTCAGTTTGACCATGTTTTAGGTATTGGCTCAGTTTTAAATAACCAATAAAAGTAAGCTTCTGCAGAGGGTTTTCTGTATAATAAAGCAAGGAGTTGACCAATTTAGGCTGGTAAAGAAGCATTAAAAAAGAGATAACATTTAAGACCATCTGTCAACATATTCTTGCCGATTTTATGAACCCTTAATAAAATAAAATCATAGCCATACGGAGGTAAATTATATTAAAATGAAATTAATTTAATATTCATTCTTATTTTAAGATACATATTTTGTATTCATTCTTATTTAATGATCAAACATTAATTCAAATCCCCAATTTTATGGTCTAAAAGCAAAATTCGCGAACAATATATGATTTCGTTATTTCAATTGTGTGGCATGTCTTTTTGATAAATGACAATTTTCATTCAATATTAGAAATGGAAAGAAAATAACGATTCCTTCCCCTTTTCTGTCGCTCCTCCGCTCTCGTTGGAGACCATTGGTAGGAATATGTATACATGTATGATGTATAGTGTATAAGCATCAACAAATAAATGTTTGAAATTGAGGGTTATGCATGGAAACCTAGAAAACACACACATGCCAAAGGAAAGATTGGGGGCTATTTTGTGTGCTCCAAATAAGAGGTTGATACCATTTAAATCATCACTAATGACACGACAAAACCATAAATTAGTTGGGAGAAAACGAAAATGAGAGGTGGCAGAAAGTTGGTTTGAAATTAAGTGTTTTCAGGCAAAGTTTTTACAACAAACTTAGGTATGTTTTCGTGTTTAAGCTTCGGTTAGGTGAATATTATTGTTTAATATATGCGACGTTGGAGTGTGGTGATAAACAACGCTGCCATGGGCAGTGGTAACGTCATGAATATAGGATCATTCATGTCAGGTTTTGATCAATCCAAACTAAAATTTCTATTAATATATCTTTGTGTAATATATGTTTACTTCATTTTTAAAAAATACAACAATTTGAAGAAAAAAAAATAACAAAGCGGTTTGATCTGAAATATTGTATAATTGATATTTAAATTTTATTTAATGAGATCAAATTGAAATAAAATTTATACATTGTAATATAATTCCACTTTATAGGACGTTAAAAAAGCATAAATCTTTTGATAAATTGTTTTTTATAGAAACTTTTTAAGACAATAAAAATAGTTTTATTAACTTATTATAACATTTTTACATATACATGATGTAAAAAATATTGGTACTATAAACGTAAGTTCGATAAAATAAGTTATTAAAACAATTTAATATTTAATTTTGATATCTTAGAAACCTGATTTTGCTGTAGTGATGTATCATAATCAATTTTGGAAATATCTTTTAGTGATGGGACATATAGATAAATACGGATTGCAAACTTTACAAAAAAAAAGGTTGAATTTCATAAGGAAACCTAAAATAAAATTAAAAGGTTGTATATTTCTTAATAATTCTAAGAAAGATTGTATCTAAGGGGTTGTTTGTTTACCTCTTAATAGTTCTATTAAGAGGCAATCTCTGAATCTTTAAGAGGTGAATCTTGTTTGACAAAAAAAAATTTGTCTCGTAATGGTTTTAAAACCCTTTGAATGATTTTGCATCATGTGTCTCTCTTAACTATTCAGCGCCTTAATTTCGTTGTAAATAATTATCAAATAATTATATTTCATTTTGCACTATATCATAACAGCCTCTTAATCATTCTGACCACTTAATCGTTCTATATCAAACTATTCAGCAGCTGCCAAATAGTCTCTAACACTACCTAGAGATTATACATACATTTAACATAGATAGCATGTAATTAGTTTATAGAAGGAATTCTAATAGCATTTTAGTAGATATTTGTTGATCAAAATTGCATACATTAACTTCTGGTCAAATTATTCATGTTATTGTAAACGTAAGCTCACGATCACAAAGTTTACTTTGAAATAATTTAATCTTATTTAATCATAAATAAATATATCAATCGTTGTATGAATAAATCAAAGTTTACTCTGTATTTGATTGCCGCATGATGTTTGACATTTATTGTTGACTATAATTTTTTCTGTTTGAACAAACACTACATATTAATTTTTTGGTAGTTTTAAGATAACGTAACCCATTTAAAAATAATTATGATTGATTTATTATTTATTTATAATATTGATAAGATATTAGTAAAGTTAATTGATGTATGTTCTTAAAGGGAAATGAGAATGAATTTTCATTCCTCCCAGTTGAACTTGGAATGAAACTTTGGCTTCTAGAGGAAGAACCCATTATATTATATAAATTCAAATAGTTTCTTTTATTATCATTCTAATCAATTACTGCTTAATGTCTCTAACCAAACACCCCTTAAAGTTTTAGTAAATTACATGAACTATAACGTAATATCACATAGTTAACATGTATGAGGCATGTTTCTAGTTCTAAAATTTAAGTAGAAACCATGGAAAAACACCGAAATTTAGTATGTATCACAAGTTAAAGACAACCAAAAAATATGTAATCACCTTGTTTTTAGCTATTGAAGAGTAATTTCACCTATCCTCTTTCTCTTTAGTTTCTAGCCTTCTCTTCCTCTCCCTCGCAAAGATCAAAAGGACCTGAAGGTCCCAAGTTCAATTCCAATAAGGAATAAAAATCCTCTTGTGGCTATGGAGATTCAAATACAGTGACTCCGGACTATCTTCAAAACAGATGGTTGTCCTGACATTAATCAGCTCATATAGCAGGTTAGATTTTCAGGTTAATAAAAAAAAAAATGGGATTATATGTGTTTGTGAATTTTCTACGGGGATTGCAATAGAACGATACAGAAAAAATGAGGCTGTCTATTTATACCAGGAGCTTAGAAGTAGGTGACTCACCCCATAACGTGGCCTCCTCCCAAGCACCACATGCCACCATAAAACATCTCATCACTTGCCACTAACACCCCTTTTTTCCAACTTTCTTTTTGTTTTTTAGCTCTTTTATTAATATTTAAGAGCCCCTTTTTTCTATTTATTAGTATTTAACGGCACTCTTTATACTGTTTATTAATATTTAGCAGCACTTTTTTTCTTATATGTTATTTATATTCAGTAGCCCTTTTTCTTTTCTGTTTAGATTCTTTTTAAACAAGTAGTTACAAGTCTTGATTTTGTGTACTTAATTAATTATTTACATCATATAAAAACAAATAAATATGATTAAATGCTTTCTTATACTTAACCAAACTAAATCCATTATATATACAAGAGCGATATAAGCTATCCTTTTAATCCAAAATTCTAATATATAAAACCAGAAATTATAGAAGAAAAACAGTAAAATCAAAAGAAACCTCATTGATATGCTCATCGTGTTATCATTCTCAATGGTTTTTCATCCTAATTTTCTTTTACAAATATCATTCATTCATAAAATTGAAGTATATATTTCTTTTTTACTCAGTTGTCCATAATATGTCCATGATGGACTTGTAACGTCGAAGAGTAATCGTTTAGCTCACAAGGAAAACAAGGGTCGCGCCTCCACGAGTTACCATGCTTTTTAAACATATGTGCCACTTTATCCTTCGTTGATGACGGACCACTCATATGCAACAACGCAACGAACTTCTTGACTGCGCCGTAAATCATCATTTCATCTAAGACAACGTCAGCCGGATGAAAATTGCTAATCAACCAAAAGATCTTTACGCATATCTTTGAAGCAATCTCGGATACATTTAACAGTTTCTTTGATATTGCACCAATCCCTAAGCGGTGTTCCATGAATGCCACTCTTCCATCAGCACATTCACACAGTAATTTGATTATTTGCAGTATTTTTTCACATTTTGATCGGTTTGAGTCCGGAAGGAGCTCAATTAGGGTACATATTGCACCAGCCTCGATTGCCTTCAATCGGCTTCTCTTTGATGAATCTAGGATCTTTATCCACACTTGCAATATAAATGAACTTTCCTTGGTACATATCTCATCCGATAAGAACTCCAACAAAGATTTGAACATACTCACACCCAAGTCGTTTACAATTAGATTCCAGGTGAAATCAGACTTTGCTATTTCTTGGAATATTGATATTGTGTGAAGCCTGGCCTCTCGGCTTCCTCTTTCAAGAACAATGGCCATGGACTTCATGTACTTAGGGTTTGATAACATTTCGATTATTTTTCCATCTTCTTGTGATATTAGGAGATGTTGAAGAACACCCAAAGCCTCCTCGCAAGCTCTAAATGCAACAAAATCTGAACCATCTTCCAAGATTTGGGCAATTATTTGTAACAAAATTTCCAGCCCTCCTAATAATATGAAATCAAGCTTCATCTCATCTCCTATTTGTAAGATATACCCAAGTTTTCTCAAAGAACTAACCTTGAATGGAGTTGACTGGAGGGTTTTCAGCAATGATGCCATTTCATCTTGCTTCAACAACCGCAAGGAAGATGAAGATGATGATGATGATGATGATGATGATGATGATGACGACGACGATGACGATGACGACGACGACGATGACGATGACGACGACGACGACGACGACGATGATGAAGCTGTTGGTGAAGATGATGGAGATGAAGAATTGCTATTTATCCACGCAAGAATGAGCCTTTTAAGGGTGCAATTAGGGGTAAGACCAAAATTGTTGAGGGTTTGCATTGTGGCTGGACAAGTAGTCTTCTTGTAGCTAAAGAACCATTTTTCTATGTTTTTACGCTCATATGAAACCCCGGTGGAGATGATGACTGGTTCATCCATAATCTCCATGGATATCGGGCATCTAAAATCCTTAGGGAAGTTCATTTCTGGATCCAAATTTAAGCTCTCCATTTCCAATATATATTGTGGTCGAAGTATATATATATATAAATTTTTTCTCTGTGTAAGTGTGATCAGAGAGAGAAACATATAGTTTATTCCCTTTATGTATATTTCTTGCCCACTAAATTATCGATGGGTTCAACATGGATTAGGTTACCCAGGTTGAGGTATTTGAATAAACTAACCTAAATACTTCAACATAAAAATATTCCTAATATGTTCAAAGCTTTTTAATGTATAACCCAGTCAAACTCATTAGGCTTAGGTTCATAGTTTAAAAAAGATTGTTAAATTAAATTTAACCTAAAAACAAAAAAATATCAAATATTAGGGGTTAGTAGTTAACCATTCAAAATCTTACAATAATCCAAACAGAGATTTAAACATAGGATGTCGAACTATAAATATAGATATTACAATAAAAAAAATCGAATTTGGATTCATCATATTACAACGACCGTTTTGTACCTCCACATGACGGAGGATGCTTTGGATAAAAAGCTCGATACGTGAGGTACTTGAACCGGTTGGGGTGATTTACAAGTACCTAATCCAATCCAACTAACTCGGTTTGAATATTTTAGATATCCACTTAGGATTTTGCGTTTTGGGTCGGATTGCAAAGTTTTATAAGCTCAAATTTGGTTTTAGGTATATATTAGGGTCTACAATAAAGCTAATAATAGTTGTAGGAAATAGCATATAAAAACACAAGGTATCTAGATCCGTCAAGTTCTATAATCATTTTTCCGGTGTTCTTGCTACATATAAATCTCACCAAAAAGAACCAAATATAAAAGTTGGATCTATGAATGTTATATGTTCGTTTACTGCTCACGTCTCGCACATATCCATATAAACGAGCATTTTAGGTCTAAACCACATATGTGGAACAACACTTTTATTGTACACTCGTTAACTTAATTCCGATAATTTTTGTTAACTAGTAAATAAAAGTTTAACTTAAGTTTTGAATTAATTCAAATAAGTCTTGATCATTCAGACAAGAATAATTATGTTGAAGAATTATTTATTTTAAAGAAGTGTACACAAGTAAGAGAACTGTCAAAAGACTAAGTCATATGATTTGCAAAACATGGGAGCAAATCAGGTGGAGATTGAAAGAATTGATCTCTTTGAAATAAATATTCGAAATACAGAATATGTATTTTTAATTCTATCTCTAAATTAATTATATGGTATTTCTCCTTGGACCCTTTGATTTTTGCATTATGTAATTGATGGAAACTTGTTTATATCGTTTCAAAAGGTCCTTAACTTATATCCAACACTTGTCTTGTTTAACAAATTATAGAAATGTGTCGTGACTAAAGATAAGAAGTTCGATCTACTGTTCAATGATAATACTTTTAAGAAAATTAAAATAAGTTTTCATACTTATAAAATTATAATTGAAGTGTGAAGCCAATTAATGGGTCATCAGAGCAAATAATGCACAAACAATTGCCCATATTTTATACGTTAGTGCATTCATTCTTTTTTGTACGTTAAGTCCTAAAACGAGATTATCAACTCATCAATAAAATTCATCAATCAAGACCCACTTTCCACAGGGCAAATCGGAGATTTCTTTCATATGTTTGAAGAGGAGGATAAATTAGTAGAGGTTGTTGACGAGAGTGATGGAACGCGCAAGTTAAGCTAATGAATAAATGCCTAACTAGTTCCATTTGCATAGTTGGTTTATACTTTTGAGTTTATATTTCATGCCTAAACGTTAAACAATGAACTATGTAAAATCAAACACACCCCACATATTCCTCCATAAATGGGTCTGAGAAGCATGTTAGGTACACAAACGTATCTTCCATATCAAAAAAGTAGAGCAATTGGTTCGTAAACACTTCAAATGGTACATTGGTATAAACACTGCAGAAGTTTCACCCTTCTAGACGAGGTTTCTTGGATAAGAATTTGTTGATCTCGTTCATAGAATATATTTGTTAATTTTATGTATATGTGTACAATAATTGATTTAAACTGAATTATAAAAATTCAAACAATATTAAGGCAATAAGTTGAAGGTAGCCCAACGTTCAAGGGTTGAATTGAATTTGTATCCTACTTTGCTAATGTTGACTTTGAATACGTACCAGACTTAGATTGGATCTATACATGGAGATTCGTATATTCAAAATCCAAGAAAATAAATTTTATTTAGAGTTTGAATTCGTATCATTTTGGTTTTCGTATTTGAGACCATCTCTCTCCGACGATCTACTCAAAAATCAATATAATGAATTTTATACGTCTTTATATCTAAATATTAAAAATGTCAATGATTTGGCTTCTTATATATTAATTATATCTTAATGATAACTATTATTTTTCTCTCTCTCTCTCTCTCTCTATATATATATATGTGTGAGAGAGAGAGAGAGATAAAAAAACTTATATTTAAAGAAAGCATGAAATAATTAAGTAGCATCATCATATATATATATATAGGGTATATTTCTTTTACAACCTTGTGCATTTGTACAACCTTTGCAACCCAATTAATTGAGATATTTATAGAAATGATT